TATATAGAGGAAGTTTACTAGATTAAATACGAGGAAAGTGGTCTCTTTAACATTCAGGGGAAACTGAACCTTTTCAAAAAGAGACTTAACAGATTCAAAGGAGAAGAAGGAAAGGAAAGGCTGGAAAGATTCATCCCTTGTTTTTCATCTAATAAACTGTGTGTAATTTCTAATAAACCCCCAAAACATGCTACTGGAACTGGGACATAGGGTAGGATGGAGAAACTATAAACCAAATATATCTTGAACAGACTTCAGTACTTTTGTAAACTCCCTATAAATTATTATTACTGAGCCTAGCACAATAGCTATTCAAACCCATGCCCCTCTACTGGAAAAGCTATGGATTAGAACAATAGTGGAGCTGTTTTCAGATAAGAAAATAATCCTAGTGCCTAGAAAGTTATTACAACTTCAAAAAAGCCTTGGGACTAGAAATACATGAAGGCCCCCACCCCGAGAGACATTACCACTTCAAGTAACATCGTTACTGACTGCTTTGTGCCACTACAGAGTAAGCACAACCAAAATGCAATCATGACAGGTTTTTCTTCTTTCTTGGGCCTCACATTGGGTGCCAAAAATGGTTGGTTTAGGGTAAAATTAGTGGTTTTTTTAGAAAGTAGATTTAATTGGCCCATCCCCCAACCGGTATGGGAAAAAATACTTCTTTGGAGAGAAGTGACAATAAGAGAAGGAGTTAACAAGAATGCAACTTCTTTATTGCTGAAGTTCAATACTAAATTCTGTAATCTTAGACTAACTAATCCTATGTTTTTAACAAATAATCATCTACTCAATCCTAACTTGAAGAATCCTAAAAGCTTAATCTTCTTTTAAAATAAAACAGCCCGAGTTCATAGATGTTTCCTTGCTGAAGTAGACAGCTGGTGCCAGGACTCCACTTGCTGCTTGCCAAATTCAGATACTCATTGCTGAATGTGGGACAGCTTTTTGTGGAGGTACTGGCATCTGCTCCTCATCTCAGAGTAGCTGGGGCTACCCTAGGAAGGAGAAATCAAAAGAAAATTAGGGCATGTCAACATTTATGCAGAGTTTAGAATTTCATGACCTTTTCTTTAAAATAGCCTTGAGGCAGACTCAGAGGTTACCAAGCCAGGCCAGTCTGGTTTTATTCATGTAAAAAAATAAAATTACTCTCAGTTTGACTTTGGAGGTATTTTTCTCTGTGAGCCACCATCCTTCTGGGAAATTTGCAAACTGAGCCTGTTGTATTACAGACCCAAGAACAAACTCTAGACAAGTCTGAAACCACAACAACAACAACAACCCAAAGCACAGCAGCTCCTAAAGAGGGCAAGACTCATTAACGCTTAAAGCCACTGAAGGGAGTCAAGCCTTCTTCAATCCCTTCTCCCTCAAATCAACAGGTGTGAGGTTTATCAAGCTCATGATACAAATCCAAGATGAAGTGGCAATGAGAATAATAGATGCCACATCCAAACACTGTCACACCAAAGCTTCTGCTCCTCTGGGCCTGAAGATCGGTTCTCTTTGCAATGACAAAAACTCATTCCACATGGGAATAAACACTTCAAACCATCCTGAGATAAATATTTACAAGGAATAAATCTTTAACAAGTTAAAATTCAGTGCAAGGACAGACAACAACATATGCCAGGGATGCATCCCAGGCCAGATGCACCTGACTGGTGTGCAGGATAAGTTTGAAAATAAAACTACAGATGCCTGTCAACATTTTGGGAGGTTCCCGAGAAGCAGTAGCTTCGACTACTGGCCTCTGCCCAGTGACATTTGCTAGCAAGAGCCCGAGCACAGGCCTCACTGCACTGCTCCCCTGCAGGGCCAGGCTTGCCCTCAGCCTTCCACAGAGCATCCCTGGCTGCACCCAGTGGGGCCCAGGGCCCTGCCTGCTCCAAAGGCCACAGCTGCCCCAGAGCCCCAGAGCTGCAGGAGGCCTGACTGCCCTTGCCAACACCACTGCTCTGAGACAAGCTGGGAGCAATTTCCAGTGTTTTATACCACACACACACACACACATTTCTCCCTCCCCTCCTGCACTGCAAATACGATGAGGGGATGCAGCAGCACTGCTGCAGCTGAGCCTGTGCAGCTGCACTGCAGGAAGGGAGGGCCCATCCGGGCCTAACCCACTTCGGTGTTCATCTCAGCACTTCTCCCCACCTGGCCCATCTCCTCCTTTAGCTTTCTACCTCCTTAGCTGACATTTACTATTAAAGAATGTCTGTACTATTGACTCTGGAATATGGTCTTTCTTGCACCTTAATTCATGCAGAGGCTTCTCTTAATCATCAAATCTTTACTCCATCGTTATCCACACTGGAGTTAGGAAAAGCTGCACATTGGTACCTTCATGGAGATCCAAGGGACACTACTGCTTCAGCCTCCCGAATTCTCTTCACATCTTTTTTGACATGGTAGTCTTCAACACACGAGTGCTGTCATGGTAGAACTCAGAAATTTGTGTCTTTCTTGAACCTAAAGGGTGCAGGGGAAATGGAGCCGACATTTGCAGACAGGTAGGAAGTAGAACGGGATGTCACAGCCAGCACCCAGGAAGAAGAGTGGCCACCAGGTTCTGCCTGGAGGTAACTGAGCTACTGCTCAATCCTCCACTTCTTGCTCATCGCAGGACTGGTCAAGCCAGAAGCACAAGGCCGTTTCTACAACAATAACAAAACAGTTCATTAATCTCTGACCCAGATCAGGTTTTGCTCCCATTGTAAAAAAGCAGGATTTGTGAACTGGCAAAGGTTGAAAACACATGTTTTTTAAATAAAAATAGCTGTCAAACATGGAGGACCTCCAGGTAAATATCTGCTCTATTGCATTCCTAGTTTCTCATCTTAGGACTTAGCCAGTCCTTCTCCAAGTCTACTGCTAAAAGGCTTTGGGAAGTAGACACTCCCTTCAGCAGCTCCAGCAAAGCCTCCCCAAAGGGGAGGTCCAGTGAGTTTTATCTGGGTCCCAATTTCTGCTTGCACACACCAGGAACAGACTCAGCTTTTGCTGTCAAACATCCACGTGATTTACTGAAGAGGCACCTGGCTGTTTTAGAGTTTTATGTGTTAAAAACGAGACTAGTGCTTCCCTCTTAGAATCCAGGAGTACAGGGTGTGATGGTCGGTTGTGAATTCTCATCAGGATGAACAAAGACAGCAGCCACATGTCAGGAAACTCTTGTGCTTTTGGGAGCAGCTGTCGTAAATCCAGCAAGCTACCTGCTGTGCAGACTCAAAAGCTGCTGGCTAACAAGCCCTTGAATTTGTACAAGAGAGTGTCACAAGTGGTTACCAACAAGCCCTCACTGTTGCTCAGTGCCCTTCAATCATCTCTCAGCTCCTCCCAAGGACCTTCTCACAGCTGCTGACTCACAAGCCACAACACAGAGCCACAAGCTCCCCACAGCCACAGCAACTTCCAAACTGAGGATGGAGTAAAACAGGACAGCCGTGTGTGCCCAGGCAGAGTGAGGGAGGGGAGAAACAGAGGCAGAGCAGGGACTGAGGAAATATCACCATTCTGTAGCTCCTGTGTTGGTGCAGCCACGTGGATAGTGCAGAGCTGGAGTCAGCAATGAGAGTGACAGAGAGACAGAGGGACAAGAGAGAGAGAGGGCCCCATCTGCCCCACCCTGCTGCAGCCTCTTATGTACAGGAGATTTTTCCTGCAGAGCCAGCCCTTTGAGGCCTCCTCCAGGGAATGAGTTGAGGGTGGGGACTGAGCTCAAGTCTTCAGGCAGAGCAGAAATTTGGCTCAGGACAGTGCTGCTCCACCCCTGCAGGATCCTCTCTTCTCATCACAGCCTTCCTGTCACAGCACTTGCAATGTCTGAGGCAAACCATGCTTAGGCCTGGTCCTGCACATTCACATCACACCTTTTATACCACCAGCAAGTCTGCTGAAACTTTAATACAGTGTACAGAATGTTAAAAATGCACAAAATACCTGAACAGGTCTTGCTGGAGCATCTCTCTCAGAAGGCCCTGGAGATGTTGCTTGGCTGCTGCTGGTGGGGTTCTGAGATGGAGCTGCTTTTCTGTAAGGATGGTCCAATATTTCAAGTTACAAGGCCTAAATGTCAACTGCCATAGTCCTTTCCTTGCAGACCTTCAGTGCCAGGACTCCAGGAAAGAGCATGAAGCTGAGTTGAGGGAGCTTTAGGCAGGATATCAGGAAAACATTCATGCCCCAGAGGGTGCTTGAGCACTGCAACAGGCTCCCCAGGCCAGTGGTCACTGCAGCAAGGCTTCAGGAAGTGTTTGGATAGCACTCTTGGGCACCTGGTGTGATTCTTGTGGTGTCCTGTGCAGGGCCAGGATCCTGGCAGGTCCCTGCTGCCTCAGCATATTCTAAGAACCTAGGCTTCATTTCCCAGGGCTTTCTTCTGAAAAGGCTCTTTTCCTTCCCCAAAAGACTGAACTTACCTAGAAAGTATTAACTTCAAATTCGCTCTCTCGGTTTTGCTGTAGCCAGGCCAATCAGTCTGAAGGGCTGGAAACAGATGTTCCTTCAGACTGAAGGAATTATCCTTTGCATTCACGTCAGCAACCTACAGGCAGACATTTCGGAAAACAAATGTTCATTACGCCCATATATGCAAACTACAGAAACCTAAATGGGCTACTTGAGTTGGGATGGCAAAATGTGGCTCTCATTATATCGGGAATGTCTTCAGGGTGAAAAATCCCTGCCACTGCCCTGGGCAAACACAGCAACAAACCTCACAGGTTCAGGGAATCAGTTCCTTAAAGTGACTGTAGGATCAACTGAAAGTGTATCCATGTTGAATTTGAGTCCTTTGACTAGGTTCCAAAATGCTTTTTCCTAGCTAAAGAGGAACTAGTCCTATTGGATATATTAATGTTTGCATTATTCAGCAAAAGCCTCTGTGGATGGGGAATATTTAAAAAGGAAGGAAGGATCTACTGCATCTTTCAATGGGTGTGCGTTATGAAAGCCTATGAGAAAGTCATCCTAGTGGAACTTAACTCGAAGGAGTATTGGAAAAGTCTCTAATTTAAACAGGCGTGGAAGTAGAAAAATTATGAACGGCAGAATAGCATGATGGAAGAAGTGCTGGCACAAGCTCCACGATCTCACCTCCTGAAGGATTTTTCCAAGGGAATCCTTGTCCTTTTGCCTGACTCCATCTCTCTGCAGCCGAGCAAGTAACTCTGGCTCCTTGTAATCCCTCAGAGCAAGTAAATGAATCACCCTGTCCCTGTAGGGTCGGCCGTAAACAGCAGCGCAACCGCTCCAGTCAATGTCTGCAAGTCTCACAGACATCATCCTCTTCTTCTCAGGCACAGGACCTGAATTGCTTTGCTGGGCTCCTCTGACCACTGCTTTTGCTCCTAAAGAGAGGGAAAACCAGAAACAAATAGTTCAAATGGGAGGTTTGGAGAAGGCAAGGAAGCTGATTCAAAAGGATGTACCAAGACTTTTGAGCCTCTATTTGTCCGTCATTTACAGATCTCCAAGCATCCAAAGAGTAAAGCATTAAAAAGAAACAGTCATTAAAAGCTGGTAAAGGAGTGATGCTGGATGGGAAGTTTTTAGGAAAAAATATTTTTATGCATTTTACTTTTATATGATTTCCCCAGTTTGTAAGCTCAAGCATTCAGCTATCTCTAGAATGACACTAAGTGCACCCTCAGCAAGTGCATCCTCTAGAATGGATTAGGTGCACCCTCAGCAAGTTTGCCAAAACCAGAGGCATGGGATGCCATCTGGAAGGACCAAGAAGTAGGGCCTTTGGAACCTCATCAGATTCAACAAGGCCAAGTGCAAAGGGCTGCATCTTTGGGTTTCGGACATTCCCTGACACCAAGACAGGCTTGGGGATGAAGGTGGGGAGGACTTGGAGGTGCTGGTGGATGGGAGGCTAGATATGACTAAAAAACCATACGGATATCCAGTAAAAAATTAAATGGAAGCATATCTAAAAGTGGTCCATCAGTTTAATACCCTTTGCACTTGGATTGTGTGACTCCTTTTCTGCTTGGGTGCTGCACTCTCTGCTCATCTCTTTGGCTTTGCTCATGGCAAGCATTGTATCGAAACCCAAAGGATGGGATTTTTTCACCCTGTCTAACTCTGTTTCCTCACCTTTGGAGCTGGGAATCTTCCGCTGCACCCTGACAGGCGCTGGGATTCCAGATGGAGTCCGAATTTTATCTTTCTCTTGGAGCTGACAGGTGGAGGTGGAAATGGAGCTGACACTTGGAGCCAGGTTCAAAGTTGAGCAGGATGTGGAAGGCAGGTCCAAGGAAGAAGGAGAGTGGCCACCAGCTGCTGACTGGATACCATGGGGCTCTTGGTCAATCCTCTGCTTCTTGGTCATCACAGGATGGATAAAGGCAGAAGCCAGAGGCCGTTTCTGCAAAGATGATGCCAATTAGGTTTGCTTTGAAAAAGCAGCATTTCTGACCTGGCAATGGTTGAACGCACACCTTTCTTACCTAAAACGGCCTGTCATACAAGGAGGTGCTGCAGCTCAATATGTTCTCTATTTCATTCCTACTTTCTCACCTGAGTATTCAGCAAGTCCTCCTCCAGCTCTGTAGCTAAATGGCTTTGGGAAAAAGACATTCCCTTCAGCACCTCTATCAAAGGCTTCCCCAAAATGAGGAGCTCAGGTTGGTTTTATCTTGCTCCCTATTTCTGCTTAGACACACCAGGAACACACTCTACTCTTGCTGTCACACAGCCACACCATTCACTAAAGTGGCCCCAAGAAGCCACTGGTGCGGTGCTGATCACAGCGTGTCCAGTGCAGAGATGATAACAACAGAGAGAAGCCCCAGTCTGGCTGCAGGTCTCATTCCTGCTGCTCTCCAGAGGAAACCCTGGATCACAGCCTCTTCCCTACCAAGCACACACTGCTCCCACCATCAGCAGCTCAGAGCAGGACTGCCAGACACAGCTCTGTGCCAGCCTGCTGACAGAAGTGCTGTAGGCACGGAGGTAGGACATAAGAGGATGCTGGGCCCTGCAGCACTTCCTGCTCTGGCTGGGAAAAGAGCTAGGGAAAACCAGGGCTGTTTAAAGAGAATTCTTTAAGGTATAGAAAAGATACCTTTCAAGCAGGGTTTTCCAAGATTCTTTCAAAACTTTTTCCTTGCCCCCTTGTATTGGCCATCTCTTGATTTTAAGCCTGACAAGTCCAAGGTATTCCCTAATGATTCCAAGTCCCCTCCTCACACATGGGATAGCCTGAATCAAAATGGGAGCCTAAATGCTGCTTAGGACAGAAAAACAAGTTTCCTAGAAACGCCTCAGTACTGGAATTTGTCCTTATGCTAGACTTCCCTAAGATTTCTCTTCAAACATGATTTAGGTACTAGAGCTGCCATATCATCAAGAACCCTGCACAGACACAGCTAGGAACCAAAAGCATGTCTACATCTTGTCCTTAGCAGAGTTTCCTATGCACCATGACAAACAAATCACGGGTGCAAGCTTGTTGCAGGCTTTGACATTGTAACCATCTTGAAAAGTATACAGGAATCCCATTAGAAGTACACACTTCAGGTTTCTATGATGTACAGACACTAGTGCTTCATACCACAGCTTGGACACCAAGAGCAAGTGGGATAAAACATCATATATGGTAGAGAATGTTTAAAAATTCACAAAATACCTGAGCAGTTCTCGGTGGAGTATTTCTTTCAGAAGGTCCCAGAGACAGTGACTGGCTGGTGCTGGTGGCATTTGGAGATGGAGCTGTTTTTCTGTAAGGATGGTCCAGCATTTCGGGTTACAAGGCAAAAATATCAACAGTCCTTGTTCTTTCCTCACAGCAAAAACAGACCTTCATTTCCCAGAGGGTTTTTTTGAAATGGTTGTTGTCCTGGCTGAACTTACTGAAAAAGGGTCACCTCCAATGTCTTTCTATCTCTTTCACTGTAGCCAGGCCAATCAACATGAATGTCTTTGAAGAAATGTTCCTTCAGACTGAAAGAATTCTCATTTGCATCCAGGTTGGCTACCTAGGGGCAGACATTTAAAACATCAATATTCATTGCACCTAAAGGCAGACTACAGATGTAAAACTGGTAGTACAGAGCTAAAGCAAAGCTGAAAAGAAAATCATGCACCAGTTTTCCAGGACTTTTGTTTGATGTGAAGAACAAAGCAGCTGTCATGTAAGAGGCAACAATATTAAACAGGTGTGGTCCATTTGGGCTGTAGAAATTTGGATGTAAGTAAATGCCAAACTGCTGCAAGCATGGAGGAAATGGAGGCTATGAAAATCTCTCCCTGCACCAGGGATCCAGGTTTTTTGGTCTTTAACGCAGCTTTGAGAATCAAGGTACACTATGCCAGAACTTCACATTTGAAATACATGGAGAGACCAGGTTTTTCCTTTCTGTTTTCCTTTTTTCAGGAGTAGGACCTGAAGAACATCATCCCCATGAGCAAGTCTGTAACGACGTGTATTTGTATTCCACGGACAGATTCAGGCGAGATCTCTGTGGTGCTCTTGGGGGAAGAGGTTTATTCAGGATACATTGAGGCTCTGCCTCGAGCTGCCAGACACAGCACGTGGCTGGGCCTCGGGTGATGGGGGAGGGGAGAGACAACAAGGGAGCAGGGACTCCCGGAGGACTCTCCAGGAGGGCAAGGGAAGATCCAAGAGGGCGTCCAGCCCCCTGGAGACCCCTTATCAAGGGGGGCTCCAGGGTGGGCTGGAACAGGACCTGGGCCAATGGGGTCACAGGCACCTGATGGTTCAGGGGAGGGTTACAAATGTGGGGTGAACCATACATTCTGGGGGGTGACATGGGAGAATCCATTCGGCTTTTGGACCCCGTTGTAGGTGAGGGTAATTGTCCAGCCAGTAGGGGGCGTTATATTCGTCCTGGCTGTACCATTGTGGTTCTTAATCATATTTACCTACCCTCCCCAACATCTCCCCCTTTTTTACTGAACCATTTGAAATATTAGATATTGATTTAACAACTATTTTCTGCACACTTGGAGGTGTACAGGGTATTGTTACTAGAACTATACTTATTGCTACTGAAACAGTTAAGCTTATTTTACAGAGTTCCTTTAGCCACGGTGCAAGTCTCGAACCATTAAGTCAACTGTGTAGCTGAGATGGCTTTATTGTTATTAAATCACTGATTATAGTAGGGGAGGCATTGTCAGAATTTTTTTTGGAAAAGGTCTTATAATTAAACGGGTTGAAAAAGGTTTGTTAGGGTTCGTGTTAGATATATAGGTGGTCTTAGAGCTTGCAGGCTTGGCTAAAGCTACTCGGCATTTGTTCTTGGTTGAATTATAAGTAAAACTTCAATATAAAAACTGAAACAGAAGAACAAAAACAATATGCACGCATTAAACAATAGAAAGTCCATTTTTCTTTTGATGACGCAGCGTGGTTCAGGTCTGGGTGCTGGCTTCTTGGCTTGTGCTTGTAGAGGAACTGTCTGGTGTGGGGGTGTCAGCAGATTTCGGTGCGTGGTAAGGCTTTACATTCTTTCTTGGGACCAACTTGAGTCGTCCACCTGTGGAAACACAAGAAAAACCTTTCCCCCACGTTAGAAGACTGTGTGGACTTTGTATATGTCTTGAATTTAAGATTTTGGGTAAAGCTGGGGGGTACCCTTTTATTTTTACTTTTTTGGTGTTCAGGAAATGTCTATAAATTTGGAGGCGAGGCTCTCTTGCAGAGCTACTTAGAAAATTGTGAGCATATAGAGCCTTATTCAACCTCTTTTGAGGTGTAGCCTGATCTACTCCCCCTTCCTTTAGAAGTAAGATTCGTTTTAGGGTTTGGCGTGTATTTTCTATGGTAGTTTTTAACTGTGGTGTAAGATAGGAAAAGGAGATAGCACTGTCATTGAGTACTGGTAGGACTTCTTTCACCTCCTGAGAGGGGACAGCTGTTCGCTGGCTGTGTAGCACTTGCAAGGCTTGGGGGTGCAGACTGTTGTCTTTGCAGCTATTATATTTGATTTCAGGGTAGTTTTTCAGTTGAAGATTGCTGGCACTTTGTTGAGAATTTGGTGAGACTGGGATAGAAAGGTTAGAGTTTGCAGGGGTAACATAGTTCTCTGTCTGTCGTTTGTTTGTAGAAGCTGCAGTTACATTGTTGCGTTCACGTTGCTGAGGCATAGTGTCTCTGTCAGGGTGTGGTGAGGAGCTGTTAGTGTGGGAGGCAGGGGCTGCTGCCAGCTGAGGCAGAGGAGCAGGGGGGGTGGAGGTTGTGGTCAGCAGCACCTGTGGGGAACTGGGATTTGTGGAAGGATATGCTGTCGCTATGGCATTGGTTGCTGTGGCAGTCTGAAGAGCCGGCGAAGGGAGAGATGTGGAGGGATATGATGATGGGTTTGGGAAACCCGGAAGTGGTGCCGGCGTTGGGGGGTTCCGGGGTTCTGCAGCCAGAGGCAGGGGCTGCGGCGCCGCGGGGGGATGGGGGGGTGGGGGCGCCGGGTTTGCGTCTGCCGGAGGGTCCGGCAGCGAGTGCAGGAGGCGGGCGGGCAGCGGGGGTGCTGCGCCGGGAGCCGGGGCGTCCCTGGGAAGGACGGGCGGTGCCGCGGCCGCAGGGGCGGGGTCCGGGGCGCTCGAGGGAGAGGAGGTGGAAGCAGGGGCGGGGTCAGGCCCGCGCGAGAGGGGGGCGGCAGCCGCGGGGGCGGGGTCAGGGCTGCGCGGGGGGGAGGCGGCGGCCCCGGGAGTGGGGGCCGCCCAGCCCAGGGCCGGCGCATGGCCGGCGCGTTCGCCGGACCAGGGGACTTCCGGGTGGGTCGGGAGGGTGGCCGCGGAGGCGAGCGTATGCAGCTTTTGCAAAATCGCAGCTGACGCTTGAAATTGTGTTTGTAAAATAGCCATTGACTGGGTTTGTGCTTGTAAAATGGCTGTTGTTTGATTTTGTAAAAGTTCGGCTATAGTAGCCATCATAGCCGGGACAGGCAATGCTGGGGGGGCGGGCGGGGGGGAGGCGGGGCCCGCAGAGTGGTTTGGGGGGGAGGAGGTGGCCGCAAGGGCGGGTTCTGGGTTGCGGGGGAGGGGGGCGGCTGCGGCGGGGAGCGCCGGTCGCTCAGAAACCGGCGAGTCGCCAGCTGCCTCGGCGGCATTTTCGCCGCAGCGCGGGGTGGGGGGGCAGTCCGGCGGGGATAGTTGAGCCACGGCAGGGAGCGATTTGGCTGCTATTAGCGGCTTTTGAGAAGCGCAGAGTTCTGCTAACACTTTATAAGCGGGAAATAAGTCGCAAGCATAGGGGTCCCGCAGTGAAATGTCGTTAAATAGTGTATGTCCCACGGACTCCCAAAAGTCTCCACAAAACACAGCAGAGCGCTCGGCATATGGGAACTTAAGTAAGATCCATTCTAGGAGTTTTCGTAGCTCTTTTTTAGGCAAATTACTATTATGGCTACGTAATAAGTGGTTAAGTTGCTTATAGAGATCTCTATCAGCTGCAGAGTGGGACTGTCCCATTTTTAAACCAGTGTGGCTCACCTCGATGTCGCAGGAGCGGGATCCTCTGTCAGGTTCCGACGTTTACTGCAGTCGGTGCTGAGGTCACCGCGGGGTTTTTTCCAGAGCTTCAGCGCGGGCAGTGCTCAGCAGTGCTCGCCTGTGCTTTGTGTACGTGGCCACGTGGTGCGGCAAGTCTCGTCACAAAGCCTTGGGTCGCCGCGGAATCGCGGCGATCTCTTGTGCTCGGAGAATAATGGCCAGAAGTCGTATAAGGGCTCTAATAGCTCGCTACTATGTAACGAGTCGCTGAGCTGTACGACGGCTTCGGGACTTTTTAAAGAGCTCCGGTTCGTTACTGCCTAGCAGCAGAATGCCGTGCTCGCGATTACGATGGCGAGGAAATACCTGGTTATTTAGTTAGTGTCCATGGAAAGGTGTCCTACAGGTAGAAAAGCTGGAAAGCATCCAGACGGGTGCAGTTGCAGGTCACCGTGGGTTCGTATTCGACGATGGGCGCCAGTCTGTAACGACGTAGATTTGTATTCCACGGACAGATTCAGGCGAGATCTCTGTGGTGCTCTTGGGGGAAGAGGTTTATTCAGGATACATTGAGGCTCTGCCTCGAGCTGCCAGACACAGCACGTGGCTGGGCCTCGGGTGATGGGGGAGGGGAGAGACAACAAGGGAGCAGGGACTCCCGGAGGACTCTCCAGGAGGGCAAGGGAAGATCCAAGAGGGCGTCCAGCCCCCTGGAGACCCCTTATCAAGGGGGGCTCCAGGGTGGGCTGGAACAGGACCTGGGCCAATGGGGTCACAGGCACCTGATGGTTCAGGGGAGGGTTACAAATGTGGGGTGAACCATACATTCTGGGGGGTGACATGGGAGAATCCATTCGGCTTTTGGACCCCGTTGTAGGTGAGGGTAATTGTCCAGCCAGTAGGGGGCGTTATATTCGTCCTGGCTGTACCATTGTGGTTCTTAATCATATTTACCTACCCTCCCCAACACAAGTCCATATTTTTCCACTCTCAGGAGGACACCTGCTGCCCTCTTGATTCACCCAGCTACATTGCCATGGCAGAACACAGCCTGGACCTGTAATGGGGCAGGTTTTCATCATCCCATGAAGCACCACAGGATGTTGGCATTTGTCTCTGCAAACAGAACTGCTTTTCTTTCTCAAGTGTCTGCTCAGAGGAAACTGCAGCTTCCTATGGAACACTTATAGGAGATAACCTACCTAGAGCTACACTTCAACAGCTTAAAAGGAACAAAGATGCCCAGAATCAGGAATTCACTTTTTAAAAGCAGAACTCAGGCTGTGTTGGAAGAGAAGGAAGGTTGTGAATAGAAGAGCTCAGCAAGTTCTCCCTACTGGTTTTTCACGTATAGCAAAAAACACCACCATCTCCCTATGAAGTTAAAAGAAATGTAAATAACAGTTTTCAGGATGTAGTGCTGTTCACACAGCCCTTTCAGAATGCAAACCAGTATCTCCAGGCAGTTCACACTGCAAACAAGAAAATACTCCTTCAAAATCTCCTTAAACATTAACAAGAACAAACAGAAAGGAGACATTTTTTTCATCTCTTACCCTCTAAGGAGCTGAGCTTTGAAGTCTTATCATCACCTGTTTCGTAGCTATAAAGGAAATATTGCTACTTGATATGGTAATGCTTGCATAATTCAGCAACAGCCTACATTGATGGGGAATATTGAAAAAGGAGGAAACAGCCACTGCATCCTTCAGTCCATGTGAATTGTATGAATGGCTGTAATAAAGAAATACCAGTGGCGCTAAAAGGACAACTGGAAAATTATGAGAAATAATAGGTGCCGAGGAAGTCGACAACTCAATTCACACAACAGCAAAGCAACTCTGTGTTCAAAGTTGGGCCACCATCTTTATCATGTAGGATTTTCCTGGAACACCCTTCCCTGGAAGGCAATCCCCACAGTAGAAGCAAATACCATTGAGAGGCCACCAAGTCCCTTCAAATGAAATACTGCCCTATGCGGCCACCAAAATTCTCTCCTCTGAAACTTGTCCCAGGGTATTTTAAGGACCTCAGCTAAGTGTTTCACCCAGTTGAGAGTTTCACCCTGTGAAGTTACTTCATGAAGCAGTTTACCAGTGCAAGGAAAAGAGGGAGGATTAAAATAAGGCATGAGAAGCAACAACATTACAAAGAATTTATCATTGCCAGGTATTCTAGAAGAACAACAACAAGGCCTCCAAAGTTTTGAAGGTTTCTTTCTTTTTGTCACATGGACTTGCAGTTGGGTGGAAACTGAGTAAAGTTGATGGGAAAATGCAAAGGGCATTTCCTAAGCTTCTCATTAGTTTCTAATTGAAACCCTGAAGTAAGACTGCTAAGAGTTAGCATTGCTGGCAGCAGCCCCAGGATCTCACCTCCTGAAGGATCTTTCCAAGGGACTCCTTGTCCTTTTCCACAACTCCCTCTCTCTCTAAGCAGGTAAGTAACTCTGACTTCTTGTAATTCTTCAGAGCCAGTAAATGAATCACCCTGTCTCTGATGGGTCGTTGAGAAACAGCACTGAAAAGTCTCCGGATGTATTTTGCAGGGTTCATGGGCATCGTTCTCTTCCTCTCAGGCACAAGATCTGGAGAGCTGTGTGGGGCTCTCCTGAGCTCTGGTATTTTCACTTCAGTAAAGAAAAAACAGAAAATGAATTGTCAAACGGGGAGTGGGAGGAATCAAGGTAGTTGATGCAAAACGAAGTACCGAGACTGTGGAAACTCTATTTGTTCAGAATGTATAGATCAGTACAAATCCAGACAGTAAAGCATTAGGAAGAAACAGTCATTAAAAATACCGTGTGAAGGAGTGATACTGGAGGGGAGGTATTTATGGAAAACTCTTTATATGCATGGTGGTTTTTGTATTTCTCCAGTTTGTAAGCTCAAGCACTAAGCTATGTCAAGAATGATATGGACGGGGGGATTAAATGCTTCTTTGGCAAGTTTGACAACACCAGAGGTCTGGGATGCAATCCAGAGGGACATGGAGAACCTTGGCAAGTAGGGCCCTGGGAACCTCATCAGATTCAACAAGGCCAAGTGCAAAGAGCTGCATCTTTGGGATTGGGACATGCCCTATCCCAGCTGGGCATGGATGCTGGGATGGGATGAGGAGCCTGGGATGAAGGTGGGGAGGACCTGGGGGTGCTGGTGGATGAGAGGCTGGGCATGAGCTGGAAACATGTGCTGGCAGCCCAGAAAGACAACTGTGTCCTGGGCTGCATCAGGTGAAACGTGGCCAGCAGGTCAAGGGAGGGGATATGACAGAGCAAGCAGTGTTTGAAACCAGGAACTCGTGCTTAGTGGCTGATGGAGACTTGATGCATATTGGTGAGAAATCCGGGAGCTTTGTCTCTTCCATCCCACACACAGAGACTGACCTTTCTTGACACGCTCCTTCAGTCTTTCAATGTAGGTCAAATTTTTAATGCCTTTCTCCACTTCCTGTTCCTTGGACCATGCCTCTCTATTTGTCTGCAAACCTAATTGCACAAACATCACACACTTCAATTATTTAGAGCACTGTAAACATGCCAGTTGTCGAGTGAAGACACCGCTAATGTTTTGAGAAGTTCAATCCAATGTGGATAGAGAAACTTCCTACAGCATTCAAACAAAACACCTCCTAAAACCATACCCCTGAATGACTTCTAACAAAAATTACCTGAAGCCATAAGCAAGCATTAAGATCAAAATTAGGTAAGAGTTCTTCACCCAGAGGGTGATCAGGCATTGGGACAGGCTCCCCACAAGACTGCTCATGGTACCAAGTCCACTAGAGCTCAGAAAACATTTGGACAAGTTCCACAGGCACCTGGTGGGATTCTTGGGGACAGAGCTGCACTTGCATATCCTTGTGGATCCCTTCCAAGTCTGATTCTGATTCTCTGATTCTGTGACAAAGCCCAGTCCCTAACTGGTACAGCATGGAGCATGTTGCAAAGGCACCCTGTACCCTAGCAGCAACCAGACCTGTCTCACCTGAGTTTCTCTGTGCCAGCCTAAAGCCAAAGCAGCACCAAGTTCCACAATTGTCTCACTACTGCCAGTCCTCACACCCCAGTTACTGAATGCTAAATATTCCCTTAGGGTCTGTGTAGACCACCACCAAGAATCACACAAATCATCATTCACATGTGAAACAGAATGTCCCCAATGAGAAATGTGAAGTTTAGTTTTGTCTCTGCAAAAAGCCACCATGGTGCTAGTTTAAAATGCTCTGCAGTAGGCTAAGGCAGAGCAAGAGCTGCACTTGCAGTGGCAGGGAAGTCCCTGCAGGCAGGTGACTGCAGCCACAGCCAGGTGAGAGCCTGCTTTCCTCAGGGCAGCTGGCTGTACCTGGCTCAGCTCACTGCTGCAGGCAGCACCACTGAGTGCCTGTAAGGGGAATGTGCACCTCGAGTCTGCCTGGAACCAGACTCCTTGGGGAAACAGCATTGAGAACACATTAATAACAAATGACATCACCTAAGCACCTTGTGCTTTGTGGGAAATGATGGAATCCGTGGGGAAGATGACATCAATATCTTCCTTTCGATTGCCTTGAAAAGAACCCAACACTGTGTTGCGGCAACACTCACTTATTAACGACCAAGAGAAAAAATTAAATCAAGCAAAGTTTCCCAAGCTGACCTTATGAAATCCTCTATGCAACTTTCTCAAGGTTGCATAGGTTTTCCCAATTAAATTTAGAGGATAATGACAGTGCCTAGATACTCCAAAAGCAAAATCTTAGCTACCAAGGCAGTGAATTTAGGTGCATGGAGTAGTCCAAGTCCATCCCATCAACCAGTATGCAAACAAGGAAGGTCTAGCAGGTTTTCTCAGGGGAAAACAAACCAGTGGCTAAATGTAGTGGCAAGAGACTGCAAGGTTGACCTGAGGGCATACCACCTCCAGTCGAGATCTCTGAACACAAGAGATCCCCTGTCCCAAGAATATGCTGCAAAAATGAGTTACCAAGTTGAAAATCTTACCGACACTGAGCAAAATGTGAAAAACAATCATACCTCCAGCTGGGTTATACAAGTTGACATTCTGCGCACTTCCATTGTGCGATGCCTTGCTGGCATTTGGCTAAAAGGAAAAAGATATTTTCTGTAAAAACTTCAGCCTGCTCTCCATCACTGCTGATTAACTAGGCCCTTTGTTTTAAACAAGAGCTGTATTTGCAAAGGTTTGCTGTCACATCACTAGAAAGGGCTGCTTTGACACAGTTCTCCCTCTGCAAGCAGCCGGCTACAAAACTGCCCTGAGAGAGCAACCCTCACTTGGCCTCTAACGCAGCCAAGTGTTCAAGTAGCAAGTCATCCTTTCCCAGTTGCCGGAATTTATAGGCACAGGCTGCCCTTGAAATCAAGTACCTGAGTACAACTGAACTGGCCAGTGTCCAGCTAACAATCCAGGTGAGAGTGGTTCACAAAAATATAAGAATTTTGGACACGACCTGATGCTGGGATTTATTTGGTACTAAGGAAGCACATCTTAGAGTCAGCTCCAAGAAGAATTTCATCTGCATAAGGTGAATTTTGACTCTCAACAGGCATGAAAGCCCTTTCTCTTGTCCTCAGCTCTAGATGCAATTCTTTGAAGCTGTGAAATGGAAGCAGTTTATCCTAGGTTAATCAGATATAACAAAATTTGGGTTGCTTGTCTGATCTCATAATTAATACAGAATGCATCACATTCTGCGGGAGGTTAAAAATCACTGAAATGTTCATCAGTCTAAGTACATTTTTTAACAAAAACAACTACTGCCATCCACCTGCTTCATTCTGTAGGCAAAATTGTCTGAGATAAAAATCTAAAAAGCTATGATAAATGGACTGAAAGATGTGAATTAATTACCATGAGAAGGGAGACATCAATACCAAAGAGAAGATAGAATATTACTTAATTGAAGAAATTATGTAATTTAGAACCAATGAAGATTAATTGGTTTTTTGGGGGTTTTTTGGGGGTTTTTTTGGGGGGTTTTTTGTTTGTTTGTTTGTTTTTTGTTTGTTTGGGTTTTTTTTTTGCTAAAAATGCTGAAATTTCTTTGTTTGGAAAAGCTTTGAAAACGGTGTGCATGTGGCTGGAGTTCTCCACTATCATCACAGCTGAGCATAAATACTAAATACTAATACTAAAAAATACTGTTAGAGAGTTTCCTTTATCCTGACATGTTCGGTGAGTGCAGTACAAACATGGAACAATGAGAAATCCATGCATTTTGACCAAGAGCCATGCCCAGAGCATGAATTTCCTGAGTGTCCCAGCACTGAGAACATCTGACTTTCACTGGAACCTCCTCAGTGCAATCCCTGAGAAACACATCCATCAGAGAACTTCCCACTTCCACTGGCACCTCTTCCGTGTCATCCCTGTGAGTGGCTTCCCCCCGGGCAGCTGCCTCAAAGGGGCCCTTGGAGCACCAGTGGGGCCCCAGCCCTGCCCAACAGGTCCCGTGGGGTCAGCAGCACCTGACACCAACACCATGGCCAAGCCCCCACCCGCTGGCAGCCCGCAGAGCCCGACACCTGCCCCTCACCTCTTGGTCCTGGGACCTCTGGGTCACCCTGACGGGCACGGCAGGGCTCTTGGGGGCCCTGCGGGACGCAGTGCAGACTGGGGCCCTGTGGAACGCTCTGGATCGTGCCCAGGCCCACAGCTCCGCCATCCTGCTCTGCCTCGGGTGCTCCGGCTCCCACACAGCCACTGGTCCTGCTGAAGAGTCTGCAAAATGCAAAATATTTGTCAGGAAAATGTGTTCTTTAAAGTTTGTCCTTGTTGATGGCTTTCAAGGCCCATCAACAAGAAGGGAGGTTATTCCCATGAAACAAGAAGTAGCCAAGGAGTGATGGCCAGGCCTTTGAAAGGCAGGTTACTTCTTGGCTGGATTGCCTTGTTGGGGTGCAGGACTTGACAGGCTTCAGCTACCTCAGACACCGGGGAGGTTAGCAAGGCTTGGGAAGAAGGATGTACCACTGATGGTGGGCACAAAGAATGCAGATTTAGGGACACAAGGACATTTGGCAGAAGCCCCAAGGAAAGGAACAAACTGATAAAGCCAATGCAGAAACTGCGCTGAATCACCTCCTGTGAGGTAAAAGGTCATTCCAGCAGGGGCAGACCATGGCCATGCGCTCCAGAAGCCATTGACATAAAAGAAGGGAGAGACTGAGCATGCAGACTAATGAACATGAGAAGTGAGAGGATCATTACCCAACAGCAGACAGAATACTAATTATGAAGAGAACTAGGGAACTTGCAGTCAATGAACACTAATTCCTTTCTTTGCTAAAACGTAGAAATACTAAGACACTCTACTTCTTGGGGCGCTGGCTTTGTGAATTTGTCCCTGAGCCCCCCATTTCTGCACAGAACTGTAAATAATTACCTCCACTCAGTGTGTGGATCAGTCTCTTGACCAACGTGTGCTAGAACCAGCTAAACTGGAACAACACTCGCTCTCGCTCTGACACCTCCGCTCTCAACGCAGCGGCCGAAGGGTCTGAGCAGTCCTGCTCTGTGCTGGTGACAATGGCCACGTGTCCTTGGAAACGGGGAGTTCCATGTTCCAGGCTGGGCGGGATGTCACTGAGGAGCAGGACGCGACACAGTCGGGGCACAGGGAGTTCACAATGGGCACACGTGGGGAATGCCCTGCCTTATCCCATGACTGACTCAGCTCATTTCCAAGTGCAGAAAGGGGTGCTTTGGCCACCCCAGTTGCTGCAGTAGCTTTGCAAACCAGGGCTAATGAAGTGTTTCTGCACAAAAGTGCTGCATTTGGCTCTCTCTGAGGCAAAGGAGCAGCTTAACACCCCTAACCAGGTCAGCAAGGTGCAGCCCCCCAGCACTGGGCCATCCTGTCATGGGCCAGTCAGTCTGTGAGGCTTCCAGCACATACACAGTCACTCAAATATCATCTCTTTGACAAAACCCCTTGACCTTTCCTCATCCCAGTCTCCTAAAAGGAAGCAAGCCAGCAGCATGCCCAGGCCCCCATGTGCTGTGCAGGAGGAGCTGACATGGAAAGGCCCACGCTGGCCCTGAGCACAATTACAGGCTGATAATTTTGCTGACTGCAGCTGGCCATTGAAGTTACTGACACATGTAGATAAACATTTTATACTCAGTTTATGATGGTTTTATTGTCGTTTTCCCCCTACCCAAGATTATTCCTGATTTAAGACAGCTGGCACCAAAAATAAGTGTTGTCCAGTCATTACAGGGAGAGAGAATAAGAGCATGTAGTTGAGAATGTGTTGAATATTACCATCCAGAGCACATTTTCAATGACATCCTCTATTTGTTTTCAAGACTATGTCTATATCTACCCAGGTCTGATCTCCTGGCTGCCCCACTCACAAGGACAGTGCAGTTTGGGGAAAGAAAGGGAGGAAGCAATTTGTCAAACACCAGAGCCCACATCTGTGTCCCTTTTTGGGAATGACTGGATGGTGTTGATGATGGATCCCCAGTTATGAACTATTGCAAAAGCCTGTGTACGAATCATGAAAGGAATCCATGGAGGTGCTACACTGGACTCCAGAATGTCCAGCAGCCTTTCTATATATTTTAAAGGTTATTGATGACAACCCCTGCTCTGGAGTTACCAGATTTGACTGACCCCTTTGCACTGTTCATACATGAGTGCCCTTGCCTTGCACAGTAACTCCATTTTTAGCTCAAAGAATGGGAATGAAGGAAGTAACCCTGCGGTATTTTGAGCCTATTTCTCAAAAAACAACTAACCAATGTACTACAGGGATGGCCAATACACCTCAGAGCAGGAGCCACCATGGTCCTGATTGATGGAATATACTTGAAAATAAATGGTGAAAAAAGTGACAGCTGATGTGCTACACATGGTTATGTCTTGTGTAGAACAAAAAAAATGCCACTGGTTATCCCTGAGCAGAATCTGAAAGTAACAGGTGGTACTCCTGGAGCAAAAGACCTTGAGACCCAGGCCCCTCAAAAACTTTTTTTGTCCTTGCTGCACGTGTGCTTAGAGTGACATGTGGGTCACCTTCCTGCCAGTTCAGAATGTGCAGAACTGTACCTAAGTGCTACTTCTGTTCAAAGTTTTCTGGAGGCAAAAAGGGAGCTGGGACAGGGGCAGAACGGGGAATGTCCATAAGTAATAGGTTGTCCTGAAGTCCCTTTTGCCAGGCAGATGCCATGGGGGGCTCTCACCCAGAGGAAGAGCCAGGACCCGCAGGGCAGATCCGGCCAGGACAGGGGTAATTTTTGCAGCAGCCAGGAGGAGCACAGCCAGGACCTTGGGGTAACTGGCTATCACCTGCCACGTGGCAGGGGGAAATGGAAAGGGTTTGTTCTTCCTCCACCGGTGTGCCGTAAATCGTGGGGTGTTGCTATCGCGCTGGCGCGGTAGTGTGGAGAAAGGGTTTTAGAAAGGCCTTGGGAATGGGAAACTGAGGAAAAGATACATTTATGTATGCCCCATTGTTTCAGGAAAGTTTTGCTTCAGCATTTTGCTGTAAACCCCTTTTTCCCCACCCCTGAGCAGTTCCCATTGGACCTGACCCCTGGGGTGGTTCTGATGAGCCCATGCTGGACACTGTCTCTATTGGTTAGACCTTATCTCTTAATTTTGCTGTATAAAACTGTATCTGGGCAGTAGCCCAGGGTCTTTTGTCCCTGCAACCATTCAGGCAATACAATCTCTCTGGACTGCACACAACTGACCTCTCTTCATCTCTTTATCCCGAATCCTTGCGGCAACCGAGGCGCACCGCCGCTTGGCCCGTGCAAACCCAGCCGCTGCCTGGTGAGCCCAGTGCAGCGGGACAGTGGCAAACCCCGGTCCCCTGAGGGGACAGCGAGCCGGAGGGGTCCCAGGGGGGGCCGGGGAGGGATTGGGGACAGCCGCAAGTGACCCCCGGAAGCCGCAGTGGGGTGTGCCAAGTTCTGTATGGTGAACAATCACGTGTGATTCGTTCACCTCTTGTACACTCTCCTTTTAGTGTTGTTATTACCGTTTGTGGGATTTTTTCACTGCTGTTTCTAGTAAATTGTTCTTACCTCAACCTATGATCTTTACCTACTTGTGCTCTTCTCTCCTCCTGCCACAGGAAAAGTGGTGGGGAAGTCAGTGAGTGACACCTGGTCTGAGCTGTATCAGTGTGAGCACAAAACTGGGGAATACCATTCCTACACTGCAACAATGTAGAAAAATCAATTTCCTAAGTTACTTTCCTTGTTTAGTCCTACAGGAAAATTAGCCTGCTGAAAAGCAACTGCTGTCATTGAACTGAAAGCCTGCTAGGTAATGCCCGTTTTAAAGTACAGATTTAATAAAGTTACACAGAAAGCAAAAATTAAATATTGATAAATAGTCTTTATAATAACATTTAAAAAAATGTAAAATCGATGATGGGAGAAATTCCTGTGATCTTTTTCTGCTCCCACAGTGACAAAGAATTCTATAAAGCAAATTACAACTGAATATTTTCAGCCTCTAAAAATAAGTTAAGCAAAATAGTAGAAAGGGTTACACTGGAGTTGCATTTCCAAAGCAGATGGTTTACTTTAATGGTTAAGGCTAAAGAATGGGAAATGAGAGAATCTGTGTGTTGAAAAAAAACCACCCATAATGGAACTGTGCAAATGCACTCTGTTCCTCCCTGAAATGGAAAGTCTCATATTCAAAATATCATTGAAAGCTGAGGCCATGATTTCAAGAGATTGAATGGCAATCAGCTGTGTCATAAGTCATTAAAGAGAGCAGTACTGATCTGACTTCACAGGTGTCTGAATGAATGACAGAACAGAAAATCAATACATTCCTAATCATGTTTTCTTGGATAAGTCAGATTTTCCAGAGGATTCAGAAAACAGGTTTGGGCTTGGTTTTTCCTCCCTCTAAAAAATGGCCAAAAGAGTTCATGCTTTCGCTTAGTTCTGAAGGGTCACTTGGCTATGATCAAGGGAAAAGATAGTAGATTCCAAAAAGATGTCCTTGATTTTCAGACTTTTCACAGACAAAATACCATGAAAGAAAAACTTAAAATCAATTGAATTCAGACACCACTTTGCTCTCCATTAAACCACAAACCCACACTCTAACCTAACCCTAAGCCTAAACCCACACCCTAACCTAACCCTAAACCCACACTCTACCCTAACCCTTACCCTTCTCATTAATACCAACACAGAAACACCAACAGCCTTGGTTGGCAGAAAAAGGGAAACTGTGATTTCTCGACAACTCAGACAAGCCCTGGGCATGGCAGGGGCAGGGCAGAGCTGGCAATGGCAGGGCAGGGCCCGGGGGGCAGCGAGATGGGAGTGTGCAGCCTGCAGGGACACAGCAGCAGCTGTGGGACAGCGCAGGACAAGCTGTGCTGGACATGGCCAAGGGCCCTGGCAAGGCTGGCAGTGGCCAGGAGAAGCCAAGCCTTGGTGCCCTGGGACACAGCAGCGTCTTGCCACCAAGGGCTGTGAGGAGGAGACACCTTGTCCTGAGGCACTGGGGCCTCCTGGCACAGCCCCAGCCAGGCTGGGCACTGCCATCCCTTGTCCTGCCCTCAGCATCCCTCCCTATGCCAGTGCTCCCGGCAGAGCCCTGAGCAGGCGGGGAGGGACAGGATCTGCCTTCCCTGGGGCTGGGGCTCAGGCCTTGGCCTTTCTGCTGCCTCCAGCCAGCCCAGGCTCTGCTCAGCAGCTGAGCTGCCTACACAGAGCCTCTGCCTCCCTGCACTCCTGGCCTCAGGGAGCTGCTGGGAAGAGGCCCTGGGGAGCCTTGGTCAGGAATGGCCCTGGGCCCTCCTTCATGCCCCCAGGGATGGCAGGTTTTTCAAAGGACTTGGGCTTTTGCTTGGGGTCCTGAGAGGTTTGTGCAATCATGGCCTCCAATTATCTGCTGGAATTAGTCCCTGGAGATTCTTTGTCAGGAGGTTTCCTACAATACTGATGGAAAACTATTTGCAAGAGCTTCCAATAAATCCACGTTCCCCTTTGAAGAGTATATTTTATGACTGTTCTATTTAGAGCAGAGGTGACTGCAGCATTCAGCCACTGATATTGGCCCAGGGACTCTCCTGAGGATGTCTGGCCTAGTCAGAGAAGCTGTGCCTGGAGGTCTGAGGCAGTGTGGACAACCTTGCCCCACATAGCCCAAGCCCGTCCTGTCTCTGCTCAGTCACCTGGGACCTGCTGTGCTTGGAGAACTGGCTGCGCTCAGGCAAAGAGGGGTTTTCTTCTTTTATTTTTTGAAGCAATCTAAAACTCTTAAGCTTCCCCATTTAAAACAGACACACTCCTCAAGTGTGTGCCAAGCCCTAGGTACCTCCAAGGAGGTTCCCCTTCCCCAAGGCAGAGCCCTGCAAGGAATGATGTAGACACACAGGAAGATCTGCAATGAACACAAATGCAGAGTTGGCTCAGGGCAGAATGAGAGCCACTCCTGAAGGACAGACCAGCTTTGCACTCCTTGCAGCTCAAAGCTCCCAGTGGGTCGTTGGGAGGTGTGTGAGTGACTCAAGAGGGAGGGAAGGGAAATGCAGAGAGCCCTGGAAGTGCTTCTGTGCAGACAGGCTGTGGGGAAGGGCACCGCACACCTGCCCTGGGCCGGCTGTGAGGGTGGATCATCATCCCAACCTGCACTGGGCATTGCAAGGGACTGCTGCCATGGACACCGCACTGACCCCAGTGCGCCAGCCCATTGCTCAGGGCTGGTGTCACTGCCCAGAGCCAGAGGGGAGCCCTTGCTGTGGGTCTGTGCCGTGGCCGCCTGCCCTGTGCCGCGCGGGCCGGTCAGGCGCCGCGGAACCTGCAGCAAACAGCAGGGCCAGGGCCAAGGCCAGGTCAGGCAGACAGAAAGGGGCAGTGCTGGGCACTGTTTGCATGGCAGCCCTCACTGGGACACCACACCTGGGTCACCTGGCCTGGCAGGTGCCATGGAAACCCCTGGCAGGGACTGATGGCACAGACCCTGGCACTGAGACGCTGCTGCTGGGCCGGGTGCTGAGCACAGGGCTGGGCACACAGAGATGCTTTTGTTCTTGCTGAGCTCCCACTGAGCCAAAGCCTGGCCTGCCCCTCCTCAGGCCACGCTGGAGAGGGGCTGGGGCTGCGGGGCAGCTTGGGAGGGGACACAGCCAGGACAGGTGACCCCCACTGACCCCGGGGATACCCCAGACCATAGGGCATCACACTCAGGGTAAAAAGTGGGGGGAACAAGGAGGAAGGGGGGACATTTGGAGTGATGGGTTTTGTCTTTCCAGGTAACACTTAGGCTGGAGGGGGCCCTGTTTCACCAGTGGGCAGGGTCAGCACCAAAGACACAGACACCAACTGAAGGAATTGTGTCATTTATATCATGCACAGCTGCAAAGAATTACAAAAGGATAAGCTCAGCAAAGCACATCATCATTAGCAAAGCATTACAAAAGAAGCTCAGCAATGCATCCAGTCATTGCTACCAGAGATTGCCTGGAGTGATTAAGGAAAGATCCATCACCAGTTAGCCTCAGGCTTTACCATCATCCACAGCCACACATCAGCTGGGGGAAGCCAAGGACTGGAGAGCCACTCCCAGACACTGGGAATTCCTGCAGGTGCCTCCACCTCTGCAGGCAATGAGGCTCCAAAGCTGTGAGAGGACCCAGCTTTTACACTGTTAAACAAACAAGCTGGCATCACTGCCACTGCGAGAACATCTGCTTTCATTCTCCTGACTGCTTTCTCCCAAAGCCTGGCCAGGGCTGAAGGAGGAACCAAGGGAGTTGACTTTGATCCTTCACCCCCAAACAAGGCCAGATGGGGCCTTGTCTGTTTCTAAATACAGAAAGATAAATCCATGTTTTATCAAGGAACACATGCATTGATCGTGTTGTTAATCATGCTTCCTTAATGAGTGGATACAAATACAACATTTGCTTGGAAGGTTCATCTAGAGGTGAGCTTTGCCTCAGGGCCTGTTCAGGCCTTGATCACAACCTGTTCAGGCCTTGGTACTTTGATCGGTCCTGAGACCTACAATCAACTACAACCTTTGTAATAATTCTTTCAGTAACACAGCTTAGATTTAGGTATTAGGCATAAAGGCATCTCCTCTTGTTCTACAATTAAGTGCAGTTTAACTTCATTACTCAGAGCTATTCACGTTCCTTTTAAAACATGCCTAAATAGTTGCTATTCTCTGTTGTTTATCAAAAGCCTCTCTTTTCTTGAGACTGTCTCTTTTAAGAAAGGTCTCAATACTCCACTTCCCAGCACAAAGTGTCACAGCAACTCACCAAGTGCACACACTGCAATGATGACAGGCCCTGCCACCAATGCATTTCACAGCAGCCTCTAATTTGGCAGCCACGAAGCCAATCCCACCAAGAAGAATTTTCTTCTGCCACTCTTCTACTGCTCTTTCTGTCAAGGTGATTCCTGGCTGTTGGCCTTCAAACCCATCACTGCTAGCAGTGCAACATCCCCGTCCCCTGATAGCCCAGGTTCCTCCTTGGCCAGCAAGCAGATAATCCAAGGCCATGCGGTTCTCTGGAGTCCCCATTTGTGTTTGTTGGAGCTCATAGGATGTGCTAATGGGCATTTCAACAGTATCATTTACTACCTCTTCTAATAATCCATTCAGCTCATTCATGTCAACTCCACGGGATGGGGCAGCGCACATGGGGCACAGGGTGAACCAGAATCCTTTGCTTTCGGAAACCCAAGGCACTCTTTGGGTGGAAAATGTTCTCTGGGCCCTAAGTCTTCCGTGTGGTCGTTGCTGAAGGACCCTAAATGGGGGCCCTGCAGCTGGGAGCGGTGTGACACTGACACTGACCAGCTGCAGCACCCCAAGTTCTACTGACATTGGGAGTGATGGTAAAGCACAGAAATCTTCTGACACTGTAGCCTCTATAACTGTAACAGGGTTTGGTTTCTCCTGACGGGAAATCTGAGTGAATCCTGTCACACTGATCGTTGTATTCCCGTGTCCCACAGCACAGGTTTCTCTAACTGTCCCTTCATTGACTCCGTTACGAGGCAGAGCCCATTGACAGAGTTCTGGCCACCCCACAGGGTGGGCCCTCCAAGGGAACCCCATTCCTCCCAACTTCAGCTGAGAACATACCCAGCAATTAGTGACACTGTGTGCTTTGGCTACCTTGGTCTTTAAATTTTCAAAACATTTTGATGACTGATCTCTTGGTGAAACTCTGGAGGTGTTTTGGCAAACGTCAGTAGTACTTTAGTGACACCGTTCTTCATTCTTTTTGCTCAATGTCATTCAGGTTAGGAACAATAATTCTGTTGTCCATGGAGCTGGCAACTTTTTAATTCCAGAATAATGCCCCCAAGGTCCTTTAGTGTTCAGCTTTACCATGTTGTCTGTGGGTAACAAGGCTTGGTGGGGCCCTTTCCCCTTTGGCTGGAAGAGGGCCAGGACCTCTACTTAAAGAAAAAAAAAAGGAAAAAGAAAAAAAATACAATTAGATGAATTGTAAAAGATACAAATAAAATCCAAGTGTTAGTGAAACAACTTCTGTAACTTTGCATTAAGAGGTAAATGATCTTTTTAAAAAAAGAACTCAGTTATTTACATTGTAAATGTGCTGATGGCATGGATCCATCTTACTGACCTCAGCAGCCTTTCTTAAAGTTTTTGGGGTTTGCTTCCAACATTGTTATTTTAAATTGTCGTCAAAGCAATAGGAAATTGATTGGGGCCCTTCCAGCTCCAGGCAGGACTGGGAATCTAAACTCTGTCAAGCCTCAAATCCTTTAGAAGATGACCTTCCTTCTCACTCTGTGAATGAGCTGCACATTCCCTCTGAAATTGTCAGGGGTTTCTTACGGATGAAAAATCCCACTTACGGCTTTTTGCTCTGCTTTGGAAGTGGGAAGGGCAATTCTCCATCCATCAGCTCCAGACTGCACTGCCTCAGGAACACGGCTCATTTGCAAGGTTTGGCCCACTCGTGGCACTTCTAGAGGAGGAAGAAAGTGCAACTGCACAATTCCAGCCAAAAAGAAATGAAGAATGAATAGTGGAGATCCAGGCGTTCCTGCGGAGATCCAGGGGTTCAGCTGGGACTATGGAGAGTTTGGGTCCTTGCCAATTGGATGTGTGTCCCCAGCTGCAATCTCCTGGCCTGCAGGGGAGTCTCACTCACCTGCCAAAGCAGAAAGCTCAGGCACTGTGCTCCAACGGGCTCGTCTGATGCAAAGCTGTCAGAGCAATGTGAGGGCAGAGCCAGCCCAGCTGTGCCCGGGGCAGAGCCCAGCAGAGCCCTGGCAGAGCCCAGAGCAGCCTCAGCACCCGCAGAGCCCGGCTGCAAGGAGAGAAACCAGAAAGCGCCCGTCAGCTGAAGGCTGCTGTCCCCTTGTCCCAGCTGCCCACAGAGCCCAGGCCATGCTGGCTGTGCCCAGAGCTGTGCCCAGAGCTGCCCATCACTGCTGCCTTTGGGAGCAGAGCAGGAGGGCAGGACATTCCCAGCCTGCAGCCAGCCACAGCACATCCAGCCCTCAGCAGCTGCCCAGAGCAGGAGCCTCCTTGTGCTTGTTGCTGTCTCCCAAAAGCTCTGATCCCACCATGCCAAGCAGACGGGGACTCACCTCACGCCATCCTCCGCTGGGAGAAAAGCTGGTCCCAAACGATGTCCTCAGCCTTCTCCAAGGGCACGGCCCATCCACGCTGCAGCTGCTCCCAGGCACTTCCCAATCCCGACTGGACCTTACATAGAACGCTTCCTCTAGAAAAACAAACAACAAACTGTTGAAAAGAGATTAGAGACAAGGGGAAACAAGAAAAAAACTCTTATCTCTGTCAGAGGTCTGAGGAAGGCCCAACCCCTACATGCTAGGGAAAATCCCACCCATGGGGGAGAGAAGCCCACACTTTCTCTCTTCCCTCCTGCACTGCCCCCCAAAATAACGGTGATCCCAAAGCAAACAAGGGCAGTGGAGCAGCCCAAGCCCTTCCTTGCCTGCAAAGCAAAGCAGCCCCTGCACAGGTTCTGGAGTCCCACCTCTGCTCCCACCATGGAGGTTTGTTTGTGTCAGGCTGGCTGCCCCAGCCCCAGCCCCAGCCTCAGCCCAGGCCATGCTGGGTGCTGGGGGCTGTTGGCAGGGCCAGGAGCCAACTCCCATCTTGTATCCACCCCAGCCCATGCCCCCAGCCCTGCCAAAAAGCAGCTGGGCAGCCGACTGAAGTTGCATCTGCCCCAGCAAAGGGAGAAACTTTTGTTCCCAGCCAGTCTGAGCAATGCCCAAATCTGGGAGCATTTCCCCGGCTGTGGACTCATCTGCGAATTCGCTGTGGAGCCTGGCTTTGAAGACGGTGCCACAAGTCCATCATCTTCAGCTGCCAGTGGCCAGGTTGAGGAAGAGGTTGTCATCCTTGATGTTGTCGTCGCTGTCTCCAGCAGCAGCAGCAGCCCCACCTGGTACAGCTTCTCCAGGAGCTCCTTCTCCTTCCCTGGGGGTCAGACCAGGCTGTCAGGGTTCTGCCCAGGGCCCCAGCTGTCAGGGAAGCAGGACAAGCAAAACCAGCTCGGATGGCAGCCACCAGTGCTGGGCAGAGCAGCTCAGCTCCAGCACAAGGGCTGCGTGTTCCCACCCAACAATCCCAGTGCATTGATACAGGCAGGGAAAAAAGTCTGGGTTTCCTTGCTTCTGATTGCCAGGGCATGTGTGGACCTGTAACTTACCAGGGCCCTGGAGCAAAGTGTGCATGTGGCTCTCTCCCTTTTTCTATGGCAGGTGAATATCCTGTATCCAAGGATCATAGAACAGGTCTTCTAATGAAGGTCTGTCCAAGAAGTGCATGGATAAACACCACCTGATAAGATCTTGGCACTCTGGGCAGAGAAACCAGAAACCACCGGTCAGCTAGAGAAGGCTCCTGTCTGCTTTGCCCCACTCTTCCCATGCCCAGGCCATGCTGCTTTTGTGCTCAGAGCTGTGCCTAAACTTTCCCATCAATTCCCTGTTGTGGAGGAGAGCAGGAGAGCAGGACATGTGGCACCTCCTCAGCGGCTGCCAGAGCGAGATGCTCACAAGCTGCTGCTGTCTCCCAGCACTGGTATTCCCCCGTGGCCAGAGATGAGGATCCACCTGGAGAGAGCCGCTGTGGCAGCGAGAGCTGATGGTCCCAGCTGATCTTCCGGCCCCTCCTGAAAGGGTGCTGCCCGCAGACCATCTGGTGCAGCAGGATGCCCAGGGACCAGATCGTTGCTGCCTCGCCATGGTACCAGCCCAAGTGGGTCCATTCTGGGGGGCTGTATGACAGTGTTCCTATGGAATACAGATGGAGTTCATCAGGGGGATGCTGCTGCTTCCAGAGCCTGGCCCCAGCATCCCTGGGCGTGCAGGGGCCGCCCCAGTGGCACACGGGGCGACTGCTGCACTCTCGCCAGCACCTGGGACATGTGTACAAACTCAGGGCTGGACAAGAAGCCACTGGTGTTGGAAGAGGGCAGCAGAAGCCCCGGCAAGGCCTGACCGTGACATGCAAAGCAAAAACCCACTCAGGGCTGGGGGAAAAATCATCTCCTTATCCTCCCTGCCTGCAGTGCCCTAAAAATATTATGAAGCCAAGGCAAACAAGGTGAGTGGAGCAGCCCAAGCCCTTCCTCTCACCTGCACACCAAACTGGCTGGTGCACTGGTTCTGGCTCCCTCCTATGCTACCCCCACCCACGGGTGCTTTTGTCGGGCTGGCTGCTGCTGCTCCAACCCCAGCCCCAGGCAGAGTGGTGGGCAAAGGCTGCCAGTGGGGCTGGAAGATGCCTCCCCACCCAGCCCCGCTCAAAAGCAACTCAGGGGAAGGCTCAGTACCCTGACTGGCAGCAAAAGGGAGAATCCTCGCTGCCACACCCAGCTTGGCCTGTGAGATGTTGGGCCATGAGATGGCGGGACCGGGAGCACACCCCTGCCCAGGCTCACCTGCAAAGTGAGTGTAGGCTGTGTCTTGCAGGTAGGTGCCGCAGCCAAAGTCGATCAATTTTGCCTGGCCAGTGGCCAGGTCAACCAGGATGTTCTCTGGTTTGATGTCGCGGTGCAGGACCCCTCGGCTGGTGCAGTGCCGCACGGCCTCCAGCACCTGGCGGAACAGCTGCCGTGCCACCTCTTCAGACAGGAACCTCCGTGCCCGAATGAAATGCAGGAGGTCCTGAGACCGCTCCGGCCGCTCCAGCACCATCACGATGTTGTTGGGGAGCTCAAGCCACTCCAGCAGCTGGACCACACCAGGGAAGCCAGTGGACACCTTGTCCAGCAGCACGATCTCCAGGGGTGCGCTGGTGCCGTCGGGCTGCGGGAGGACCACGGTGCCACCAGTGGGACTGATGTCCTGCCAGGGCTGGGGAACCCCTCAGCCAGCCCGGGATGCTCTGCGCCCTGCGCTGGCCCCACGCCCGCTCCCCATCGAGGGGTCCTGGTGGCTTCCCCCATGCCGGGCCTCGCCTCATCCCCGCCCGGCACGGCCCGGCTGTTCCCGCTGGCCCCGCTCACTCACCAGCTCGTCCCAGTGCCGGACGCGGTTCCGTGGCACCCTTTTGATGGCCACCTGCAAACCAAAGGCACCACCGGGTTCAG